TAGAGTAGAAGCAAGATATAGCAATAGCCTATACCAAACTTCGCAAGAAATTTTTTTTGTTAAAACACAAAAGACTATTTTATAAGTAAATTATTAAACTATGAGCCTTTTTTTGTTTTTTTTGATTGTTTTTCAATTTTTTATTTTATACTTGATTTCACAATCTGATTGGTTAATCACATTGCAGCAATTATTGCTACAAGCAATAAATAGCAAATTTCTATTTAAAAATACAAATTATATTATAGCAGTATTTAATTTTATATACAATCTGTTAAGCAATTTTTTTCAATAATCCTCTAGACAATGCAACAAAAAATTGAACTACAGAAAAATACTATAAGAAGTTCCAAAATAAATACTATTTTAGTTCTGTCTTTAAATAAGCAAAGTTTATAAATATAAAATACTGAGGAGTGGGCGTAGCTTAAGCGGTTTTTCTTAAAATCAAGCTTTTGTATTTTCAGTAGACTTCTCAAGATATTTGGTATTCAAACCAGAAGCGTATTCTGAGAATTAAACTTATCTCTGAACAGGTTGCTATTAATGAAGCTTGAAAAATATAAAATACCAAGAAGCAGGTATAGCTTGAGTAGTTTTTCTTGGGGTCAAGTTTTGTGTTTCTCTTGGAACGAACTTCTTGGGATATTTGGTATTCAAACTAAAAGATTTATTCTAGAAGCAAGAGTGAATCAGTCCTCGCTGAGATAGTATTGTCTTGAAGAATTAACTATATGATCATAAAACTTATAAAAGAATCTCACACATTTTCATTGGCCTCTACTTTTTTTTAAAGAAAATTTTGTAAAAAAGTGGGCGATTTAGTCTACCCTTTTTAAAAGATTGATATATTGTTTACTTATCAAATCAAGTAATATTGTTTATATTTTTACCTATCACAACAAACATGTGGATATATATAGAACGTGAATATGTGATTACGTGTTTTAGATATGATGATCTAGAAAACAATACTCCAAGTCTAACAATACGATTTTTGAATTCTTTACAGTACCGATTTTAAAGAAGCTAATTTTTTTCTCTAAGAGGTTTTTTGCTTAAATATATTAATAGGTGATTCTCTAGTCATCTAGACAAAAATATTTTTTTTATATAAATTTTACTACAAGTGCGAATATGCAGTGTCTCTATCTAAAACTTTTTTTCTTACTAAGTAAATCATTTTTGGTCTTATAACAAAAATTGTAAAGCTTATCAAGATGTATCTAATAGTAGTAAGAATATTAAAATTGGCTTGGTAGTTCTTGAAAAATTTTTAAAAAACTTCTTTTTTACATATAAAATTTCTTTAAAAAAAATTAATTTTTTTTTAAAGAAATTTTATATGTAAAAAGAAGTTTTTTAAAGATTTCTCAAAAACTACCAAGCCAATTTTAATATTCTTATTACTATTAGATACATTTTGATAAGCTTTACAACTTTTGTTATAAGACCAAAAATAATTTACTTAGGCTATGCGAAATTAATTAATTGGTTTTCATAATCTAGCTGGATTAAAATTTGAAATCTTGTAAAAAAAAATTTTTATATGTTTTAATAACTGGGTAGGTTTTTTAAAAAATTTTAAAAAAATTTTATAAAATTTTTATATATGAAATTTAAAAAAAAAAGCTGGCTAGCTGGGTCTGTTTAAAAGTTTCATGTTATGAAAACCAAGATATTAAATTTGTACAGCCTTAGTAAGAAAAAAAGTTTTAGATAGGGATGCTACACATTCGTATTTATAGTAAAATTTATATATAAAAAAAAATATTTTTGTCTAGATGACTAGAGAATTATCTATTAATTATATAAATTAGTATAGAGAATAGTTTAGATAGTAATATATAATTTTTAAAAAGCCTGATACAGGCTTATAATTGTAACTATTTAATATGAGTAAAAAATCGCACATTTAGTTTAGCTTTCTCATTCTCTCCTTATCTCTTTTTTTTTCTTTTATTTATTTTTTTTTATATACTCCCTATACTTCTGTGTTTGTTTTAATTTTTTTTTTCTTTTTCTTTCACTTCTTTACGAGAAGATGTCATCAGATTGGTGATATCCTATTGTAGGGCAGTAGTCATATAAACTTCCAAACAGGTATTATCTTAATTAATCATACCTTACTGATAAGGCCAAGTCATCTGTAGATGTATGTAGATAATTAGTTAGGTTATGCAAGATAACTACAAGATGTCAACTCTCAGTTTTCAACCTCTACAAGATTGTGACTTAATTAAATAAAAGATATTGGCACAGCTTGTCTAAGTGAAAAAAAAAAATTTTAATTTTATATTATAAGAAAAAAGTTTTAGTTACTTATAAGATAAAAATAGACTAATTTAGAAAAATTTTTTAATGAAAAAAATTATTAACTTATTTTTGATGAACTTTTTAAATTTAATTTTAAAGATATAGTTTTTAATATAATATTTTAGCTTATATAAAGGATAATATTTTTTATTATTACAACTTTTATAATTTATTTATAAAATTTAGACTTGTATTAAAAGTAAAATTTTTTTTTAGCTTCAGAAACATATAGTGTAAGACAAAAAAACCTCTCATCTATATCTGCTTACAGAGAAATGCTATAGCCTTGAAACTTTCCTAAAATTTATACTAGTTAAAAGTTGGCAAACCAGATATAAATTAGATATATATATATATATATTTTTTTTTTAGTTTTAAGGTGACCTCCTGGTTGTGCTATACTTTTATTGTTTTCGGATATCAAAATACATATTCGGAGAGTATATTTAGTCATATCTGCACCTTTTGAGTGCCTATTTAAGTAGTCTGTCTATTACTAGATTCTACACTATTTGCTATACTTGCAACCAGTGTTTAAAATTCAAAAAAAAATTTATGTGCACAAATATATTTTGTACATCTTTTTTTAAAAATTTTACATGCATACTTAATGGATTTTTAAAAAATTCAAAAAAATCTAAAAAAATTTCATGTACATGTGCATCTTGTGCATGCCAATTTTAAACCCTGCCTGCAACCCAACTAGAGGTTATCTATTTAAACCCTCTGCATCTATATACTTCGAGGCCTACAACAATCGATACCCTTTTTTTCAGTTCTAAGAACTAGTCTCACAAGTATATCATTTCATATGCTGACTTAGGACTACTTTATCCTTGAGATTAACCTGGCAGAGCCTGCAGTATTCTCACTTTATATCGCATCTAGCCTGCGCTTCAGTTTGGTATACACGGACTGAAGCCTACTACTTGCGGCTCAGTTTTTTCTATTCTGAGAATATGTGGTGCTGGGTTGAGGTTATTGCCTACGGTTGATTCCCTAGCTTAAACTTTCTCCTACTTCCTTTCTACAATTTAACTCCAGTTTTTGGCTGAACTCCGCTATTCAAACCTACTTCTGCTCTTGTAGAGTTTACCCAAACCCCAGAACTTATTTCACAGTATATTCTCAGTACTTTAGTAACCCGGTTCCCTTTATTCAGACTTCTAATCCAGATAGCCTGATATGTATTACTTATTTTCCTTCAAGTTTGATGATAGCCTAGTTGATATAGGTATTTTCTTATTTATCTAATAGCAGGGCCCCAACCCTGGTTCTCAGACTTCCAATCTAGATGGCTCAGTAACTGTACACTTTTTCTCTGCTCTAGACAGGTATCTTGAATCTTGGTAGTCTTTTACTTTGCCGCTAAGCCACATATATCACAGCTTCTTCACCTCGGTTCCTAGGTTCTCTTTCCTATTATAGCAGCCTAGTTGGTGTAGTCACAACCCTAACACCCTATATTCCATCCAGTTCAGTTCATCTGAGTTTTGTTTTCTGAGTCTAACCTTTATAGTAGCTTCATCAAAGATCTGTGCTACCTCTCTACTTGGAACTTGCCAAACGGGTTTCTGTATTCGCAGTTCTTTAGATTTACAGAGCCCAGGGCAGGGATGATGATTTTCTGTGATTCACAGAATATTACAGAATTTCACTTAATCACAGTCAAATAAAGAAATTGTGTTTAGTCACTACAGAATATCACAGAATTTTCAAAAAATGGAGTTATTCACATTTACATGATTATTAACTAATCAGAAGTGGTATTTCTATGGTACAATAAATCATAGAACTATATAACTGTACAATGAACCATAAATCATGGTCTAAAACCATGGAATACCATTATTTGAAATATCTTGCATCTCTTAAACATAATTATTATAACTTTAAAACTCATTTTTTAATAATAATGATAATGATAACTGTTATTAATTCTGCTATACATATTATAAATCCTGATTCTTCTAGTTTTAAAGTTTGCGATATTCACATATTTTATTAATAATAAGATTTACATTAAATTACTTTAGCATGATTAATTTTTTATACATCTCCTCTAAATCAAACATTTCTAAAAATCTTAAAAAAAAAAAAAAAGACATCTAAAAATAAATTTTAAATTAAATCATTTACAATATTAATGGTATAATAAATAATACTCTAATATTAAATCAAAAAAAGCAAGTTTAAACAAGTACTTTAAGGCAGCGTTGATTTTTTTGTTCATATTCAAGTTATTCAACTCTTAAATTTTTGCTAAATATTTAAAAATATCTAAATATTTAAAGTTATGATATGCTATTAGAGATGTGACAAAAATCAGTGGATTTTTTAGAGAGGGAGGGAGTAAAAAAGTTAAAATTATATATAAGAACCTGATTTTTTTTTATATTAAGAGAGAGGAGGGGGTAAGTCTTTGATAAAAAATAATCAGGTGATAAATGACACTGCCCTTAATCTATCTAAAGTGATTTAAATAAATATAAACTTGTAATATAATTTTTTTTAAAAATATTGTTATAATAACAATGTGACAAAAAAAAGTTTCTATAGCTACCCATTTAAAAGAACATCCTGGTGTTTTTAGAGAAGATAAAGGAATTATGTTTTGTAATTATTGTGATCACTCAGTTGAATGAAAAATAAAATCTACTGTTGACGGGTATTGTAACTCGAAAATGCATATTAAAAATAAACAAGTTTACGAAAATAAAAAACAATCTAAAAAACAAGTTACACTTGCCACAATGCAAATTGCATCCAAATCAAAAAGAGAAGTTATAGAAGATTTAATTAAAGCCTTTTCTTCTGCCAATATTCCTTTTGAAAAAGTTAATAGCTTACTTCCCTTTTTTAAAAAATATCTTAAAGAAGATAAAGCTATTTCTTAAGCCTCTACACTTTGTTAGCTATATTTATCTCGAGTTTTTAACAATCATTTTTCTTTACTTAAAAATTTTTTTGATCAAAAGCCTGTTGCA